TTACTCGGTTGGTGCGTCTAGGTGCATTGGCGGGTTTAATTTCGTTGATTTGGAGTGTCAAATCTGGAAAGTGAAGTAGATTGTATTTTGAGCAGACATGTATATGGTGTTTTTTAAAGAATGGGTTTCCCAGGATCGTTGAATTCGCTGAATTCAGCACTAGGAACGTTTCCGTAAAGTTCATATCTGCCATATGAAATTCAATGGTAACTTCAGTTTCAATTGACACTAGTTGGCCTCCTGCCATTCTCACTTGCTTGAGGCTTGATTTTGCCATTTTATAGGGTGCGAATAGTGTTTTTTCGTTTTTAATTTCATCGAATGTTTGTTTCGAAATTACGTTTGCACATGCTCCTGTGTCAATCAGTACTCTTCTTTGAAGGCTTGGCGCTAATCTTATTTTCATATAAGTTAGCACTGTTCCTTCGGTTGGGATGACGGCGTACAGATCAATAATTTCATCGTCTTGTACGTCTTGAATATTTGATTTGCGTGATTTTCTTGATTTACGTGATTTTTGTGATTTAGATGATTTGACTGACTGACTTTGTGGCTTAGTTAGTTTTTTGGTTCCATTTGGAACGGGAAATTCTGTTGCTGCTGTCCCTGTGGCTTGGGTTTGTGCCAACATTGGCTTATGGTATGGCCAAACTTCCCGCAGTGATCACAGAATTTTGATCCAGTGCGAACTGCTGCTGTATTTGGGTTTTGGGTGTGCACCTGCTGCATCATTGGTTGTGCAACTTGCTGGGCAAACTGAGGATTCTGTTGTGGTGGCGTAGCTATCGCTTGTTGCTGTTGGGTTTGTTGGCCCTGAGGGTACATCTGGTTCGAATAAAATTGAGCGTTCTGTTGTGTTTGAGGGTAGTTCTGGTTTTGTTGGAAATAGGGGTTCGATTGCATTCCAGGCATCTGTTGGGGGAACTGGAACATTTGTGGGGGGTACTGCATATTTTGAAACCCGGAGAAACCTTGGTTTCCGTATCCCCCATCATTTCTCTGCTGTCCGTTCTTTTTTCCTTTACCAAATCTCCCCTTTCTTTGATTGTATCCTTGTTGCCCATTCCCTTGATAACCATTCCCTTGATTAGGGCCAGAAGTATTGCCCTGATCAGGGCCATTTCCAGTTCCTTGATTTTGTGCATTGTTTCCTTGATTTTGTTGTTGGGCTTGATTATTATTCCCACCAGCGTTTTGGCTATTCAGTTGAGAGCTCTGCTGTGTGTTTCCGTTGTCACGTTGTGGTCGTGACTGGATCATTTTTCTCTGATCCGATAGCTCACTACGGACTTCGTTGAGTTGTTTCTCAATCTGTTCCTGGGCTGTTGTTAGTTTCGACAACGCACTGATTAGGTTGTGAGAAACTGTATCTCCAATTTCATTGAAACTATCTTCTGGGTAATCCTCATTACGACAGACGTCTCTAATTGTCATTTGTTTGCGCGCCAGGTTACAAAGCTCTTGTACTGTTGTGGCAGCTGGTTGTTCCATCATCTTCGAACGGAGCCAATTGGGCATGCCTTTTATAAAAAGACGTTTAATTTGGTTGTTCCTATGATCATTTTCAGCGTCAAGTCGTTCTTGACGTTGTGCCGTCTCTCTATGGAAGCGCGCTGTGTCTGCAGCGGCTGCAGCGTCTGCTAGTGCTCCGTCGATTGGGGCAACCGCAGGTAGATCCGGTGTAGGGTAGGCTCGCTGTGCCTTTTTTGTGAGGTTGACCAGGTAGTTTTCTGGTGAGTCTCGCTTGATATCGAACTTCGATTGTTCGAGTTTTAGAACGTGGACCTCTTGCAATTGAGGGTTGCAAAAATGGTCGCGTAGTGCCGCTAGACTAAGAGGTACGTCGGCTCTTGTTAGTGCTGGCAGTGTCTGGTAGAATCGCAGAGCGCTATCTCGCAGGTGCAATTGTAGAAAATTCGCTTGCTGAGCATTTGCGATTCCCGCAACTCCAACGTATCCTTGGAAAAGTTGTTCGAATTGGGCGAAATCTTCGTTATCGCTTCCGCCAAACGGTTCGACTGAGATTTGAGCGTGCGCCATCTTATCACAGTTATATGATTGTCAAGTCTGATTCAAAAATGATTTCAGATGAATCAGTCGCTATTTTATAGTGGAAATAATTATTGCCTAGTGGGTTCTTAAGTTTTAAGGACGTAATTATCGTCTCTGAGAAAATATATAGTTAGCTCGTACTATGATTAGTTACGAGTCGGAGTTAATTAACTCTTGTTGTTATATTTTTTAAACTTTCTACTTTTTAAGTTAACTTGTCTTGCGGCTTTAATATTATTCCACTATTTTTCTTTTTGAAATTTGGTTAGACTTTAAGCACTGGATAGGTTTTCAGACGGTTCTCATGGATGATTTCAAATGACTAGTTTCAAATGAGCACTCATCAATTTTACTTTAAGCACCGAGAGTTTTAAGTTTTAACTAACTGTTTTTGTACACTGTATCACTTTCCTGGAGAAGTGTAGTAGTTGTCATCAACACAAAACAGTTTTTGCCCCGCTTTTCTGCTGTTTGAGCCAGTTACTGCCGTGATCTTGTTTCAGCTTGTGGCGTATGGAAGTCGTCTTGTGGTGGATGTCGTCTTGTTTTCACTCTCACTTTGCAATCAGCTTCAGCTTGTCTTGAAAGGTTGGTAACATCATCCCACTCATAGTCGCCATGTTATATACCTTTACTGGCTATAATCGATTGGTTGATTGAGGAGTGCTTTCTAGAGTGTTGAAGTATGTATGTATGTTGGATGTGTGGTCTAGGCTAGTGAATCTTCAACTCAGGGATGCGCTTTGTGATGTCAGTTTCAACCTTCGCTAGTGTCTGAGCTTAAGATTAGAAGTGAGTGTTACTAGTTGAATTGTCTCCTTTTAGCGAGCTCCTGATTATAATGGCTCTCTCAATTATACTGAACATTCATCAGTTTATTGTTTACATTAAACAAATATCATTTAACACTTTCACATTGACATTTAGAATAGCAATTGAATATTTAATATGCTCCAATTATGGTAACTAGTTAAGAATGACTAACATAGGCGAGTAGCACTATGTTACAAAGATAAAGTGAGTTTTCAGTCCAACGTTTATAATCCATAAACATCAAGTTTACCAATATAATTCGCTGAAAATCTTGGAAACAAACAAACTGCATGTCCAATATCATTGGTCGGAGACTTCAAAAGGCACTTCCAATAGCTTGCTATAAATGAAGATAAAACAACTATAATGAAAATATTCAAAAAAACTTGACTACAATATTCAAACAATTACCATAAAAAAAATTTTTTTTACAGAAAACCAATAAAACCCAGAAAGCCTGGAAAACAATCCAATTAAATTAATCGTGTAAAATATGAGAATCATACGCAACGGTAAAAAAAGCTGAACAACAACCAAAAAGATAGCAATTTGAAAAAAGCCCAAAAAAAGACGCAACCTGAATCGAAAAGAAATATATATATTCAAACATATATATGTTTGTCTGAAATGCGCGTAAATTTAAGGAACAAAACAACTGACAGTGTTGAATAAGCATTAATAAAAAAGTTCATTAAGCGCATACTGGGCAGACAAAATGAGGGTCGACGACTGTAAAGCCAAGAAATAAGCCGAAAATTTCTTTGGAAAAAGAAAAGGTTCAGTTTGGATTTAACAGGTCCTCGCCAGATTTACACCCAGACCCTCAGCCGTCCCAGGTGTAGACGTTAGCTTAAGACTAAAAATGCCGTAAAAGCTAGGAAAATTGAACTCATTATCAATCGAGCTATCACATGATTCAAACACAGAGAAGAAGCAGAGATTCGCACCACTTGCTTTACAAAATTACAGGCTAAAGTTCGAAAGATAATGTGGGAAAAAGATGCAATTAAATCAATTAAGTTGAAGAAATGGCCAGCTACAAGCGAATTTTTAAGAATTTCTTATAGAAATCAGTCGACTGAAACATCAAAATGACTCCGGGCAAACCAACTCTTATTTATTTATTTCTTAATAACTATTAGATGAGACGGAAACGAATAAAGTGAGTTTTCAGTCCAAACTTTATAATCCGTAAACATCAAGTTTACCAAGAGCTTCGAAGCAAACAAACTGCATGTCCATCATCAACATTCGGTGATTTCAAAAGGCACTTTCGATAGCTTGCTATAAACAAAGATAAAAACTATAATAAAAGAAAACCAAAAAACTTGACTACAATATTCAAACAATTACCATAATTTTTTTTTGCAGAAAACCAATAAAACCTGGAAAACAATCCAATTAAATTAATCTTGTTAAATATGCAAATCGTACGCAACGTTTAAAAAAAGCTGAAAAACAACGAAAAAGATAACAATTTTGAAACAAAAAGCCCAAAAAAGGACGCAAGCTGAATCGAAAAAAAATATAGATTAAAAAATATATGTTTGTCTAAAACGCGGCTAAATTTAAGGATAATACAATTGCCAGTGTTTAATAATACAGCCAGATGACTCTAAGGATAACTCAGTCAGATAACTCTAAGGATGAACTTCAGAGGCCGAAAACTGCATTATCGGAAAAGCATAGATCAACATGAAATACGAATACGACTAAAATTACATCGAATTTAGGCCTAGTTTCCTAGAATTTCTCCGTTCAATGCGGTGCGATAATCTCCTTTTAACTTAGACAAACTAAACAAGATAATCAGAAGCTAGACGACTGGCTAGCGACAACTAAATAAACATACACGGTGAAAAAACATCTTTATTTATTTATGGATAAAAGCTAACTCTATGCAGCGCTTAGTCCAGCACTAAGAAAGCAAGGAAGCACTTTTGTGTGGGTGTAATTGAGAAAGTAGGTGAAAAATTGTTTTAAACTTACTAAAAATTGACAAACTGGAAGCGCTATAATTTTTTCATGCTAGGATGGAGAAGCTTAAATGCAAAAGGCCTGAACCCTCGCCACCGCCCAAATTTTGGTATTAGAATTCCTATTGTTTTACATAATTTTTTGTTAATTCAACTTACCAAGAGTTTCCATGGAGTCCATGGCCTAACTGAAAAAAAAAGCTGAATGAAAGTGAGCAATATACGCATTCAATAACAAAAAATAAATAAATAAATACTTAAATTGCAAAATTCAATTAAATTCAAATGTGTGTTCGATATTAAAGAAAATTAAGCGAAAATAAGTTAACATTAATAACAAGTTATGATTTTAACATGTATGTTATAAATCAAAAAAATGTCAAATGGAGTTACTGTTTTTCCCTAAATGAACTTAAATTTTTTCCATGAAATCGTATCATAGGTTGCCACTGATGGATCTACCTTAAATAAAAATGGGAAGTAAGTTTCAAATTTGTTCTTCGTTTGTTGGTATGTTAGTAGACCCGATGAGTTAGCTTTGTCATCTTAAATCTTATTCCATATCATTACTGATCGTTTAAAAAACGAGTTTTCTATAATTGGTCCGTTATATATTTCTACGAAGTATAACTTTTTAGTTCTCATATGGTAGTTTTGTCGATATGTCGATAGGGTAGTTTTCGTATTTACTTTTTGAGTAGGCTAGTAACAGTTCATTTTTAATTTTCCACGAGTGCCACATTAGTTTCCAATCAAGAAACATGGTTATAGGCATTATAGTATTTTTCATCTTTAAATCGGACGATGAAATAAATTTAGCACGATCGCAGCAGATTTTTCTGGCTCAACTCTAACATTCGTCCGGAAATGCATACCGACGGAAAACAAAGCTAGGTTCTAACACGACTGGCTAGCGTCTAAACACAGCTTCTTATGATGTTAACCGTCTCCACCGAAGCCATCTCAAAGTGTGGTCCATTAACATCGGGTCGACAAAGTCATTACTGCCTAAGGCTATCCGCCGAACCGCGCTATTCACTTAGTTTTATGCAAAACTAGTGAGCTCATGGCTGGGTATCAGTATCTCCAGACTACAAGGTCACTCCTAAAAACAGGGAAACTACTAAATTATCGTAGTACTATTGTTATTGTTTCAGTGGAGAAAATTCATCATATCCATCGGAGAAGGAGCAACCCTTTCCCACAGTTCTTAGCTTCTCGTGTTCTGAAAATTGCATTAGTCTTCAATTAAATTCAATTAAAGGCTATCCTGGAAGTTAAAAACTGTTAAAACGAATATCTGCTGTCTTTTCCAAGACTCTTCTGGATTCTCAAAACCGATCGAAGAGCTGTCTTCTTGGGAATCAGGAAGGGTAGCAGATCTTCCCGATAGCCCTCCGATTTCTCGGAATTGCTCGTTAACGATTGTAGCTGTACTATCCTTACAACTCGGAGCGTTCTTCGGACATTGATGTCGTTCGCTGTTTTTCTCTCGAGTAGCGAAAATCATCGTTGTGAGTTTCGCACTTTTTCAGTTTTTGCGAAAATTACAATTGTGACGGGTCATGCACGCCTGTTGCCAACATCAAAAATTGATTCGTCATTCCTTTATAATCTTTCCCACTACGTTCAATTGTACTATTAACACCGTTAATCCTTCGAAACAACCAATTTTCTCACCCAACTGCTACCAATAAAATTCATTTCTGCCACGCAATTCAGGCCATTCTGGTCAAATTTCACATAATCAACGGACAGCACGGTCAATGTACTCCTTGAATTTCAAGTAACTCATCAAAATGGTACATAGTCATCGAACGGAATTTACAAAATGCTTTGTGTGTCAGATATTAATGAAAATTAAGCGAAAATAAGATTACATTAATAACAAGTTATAATTTTTTTAAGTATGTTATAGATCAAAAATATGACAAATGGAGTAACTGTTTTTACCTAAATGAAATTAAATTTGTTCCATGAAATCTTATCATAGGTTGCCACTGATGGATCTACCTTAAATAAAAATGGGAAGTAAGTTTCAAATTTGTTCTTCGTTTGTTGGCATGTTAGTAGACCCGATGAGTTAGCTTTGTCCTCTAAAGTCTTATTCCAAATCTTTTCTGATCGTTTAAAAAACGAGTTTTCTATAATTTGTCCGTTATATATTTCTACGAAGAATAACTTTTTAGTTCTCAAATGATAGTTTTGTCGATATGTTGATAGGGTAGTTTTTGTAATTAATTTATGAGTAGGCTGGTAACAGTTGATTTTTAATTTTCCAAGTGTGGCATATTAGTTTCCAATCAAGAAGCATGGGTATAGGCATTATAGTATAATTGATTTTTAAGTCGGTTGATGAAAGAAAATTAGTACGATCGCAGCAGATTTTTCTGGCTCAACTCTAATATTCGTCCGGAAATGCATACTGACGGAAAATGAAGCAAGGTTCCAACACGACTGGCTAGCGTCTAAACACAGCTTCTTATGCTTTTAACCGTCTCTACCAAAGCCATCTCAAAGTGTGGTCCATTAACATTGGGTCGACAAAGTCATTACTGTCTAAGGCTAGCGGCCAAACCGCGCAAACTAACTTAATTTCTGGGTTTCAGTATCTCCAGACCACTAGGTCACTCCTAAAAACAGGGCTACTACTGATTTATCATATTACTATTGTTTTTTTTTTCGGTGAATAAAATTCATTGTATCCATCGGAAATGGAGCACCCTTTCCCTCAGTTCTTAGCTTCTCGTGTTCTGGAAATTGAATTAGTCTTCAATTAAACTCAATTAAAGGCTATCCTGGAAGCTAAAATTTGTTAAAACCAATGTCTGCTGTCTTTTCCAAGACTCTTCTGGATTCTCAAAACCGGTCGAAGAGCTGTCTTCTTGGCAATCAGGAAAGGTAGCAGATCTTCCCAATAGCCCTCCAATTTCTCGGGAATTGCTCGTTAACTATCCTTACAACTCGGAGCGTTCTTCGGACATTGATGTCGTTCGCTCTTTTTCTCTCGAGTAGCGAAAATCATCGTTGAGAGTTTCGCGTTTTTTCAGTTTGCGCGAAAATTACAATTGTGACGGATCATGCACGCTTGTTGCCAAAATTAAAATTTTAATTCGTCATTCCATATTGATCCTTCACAATTTGTTCAATTTTACTATTAACAACGTTAATCCTTCGAAACAACCAATTTTCTCACACAACTGCTACCAATGAAATTCGTTTCTGTCACGCAATTCAGGCCATTCTGGTCGAAATTCACATACTCAATGGACAGCTCGGTCAAATATCTCCTTGAATTTTAAATAACTCATCAAAATGGTACATAGTCATCAAATGGAATTTACAAAATGCTTTGTGTGTCAGATATTAATGAAAATTAAGCGAAAATAAAATCACATTAAAAACAAGTTTTAATTTTAACATGTATGTTATAGATCAAAGAAATGACAAATGGAGTTACTGTTTTTCCATAAATGAACTTAAATTTTTTCCATGAACACCTAACATAGTTTGCCACTGCTGGATCTTCCTTAATTAAAAATAGCAAGTAGGTTTTAATTTTGGTCTTCGTTTGTTGATAGGTTAGTGGTATACCCGATGAGTTAGCTTTGTCATCTAAAGTTTTATTCCAAATCATTTCTGATCGTTTAAAAAACGAGTTTTCTATAATTTGTCCGTTATATATTTCTACGAAGTATAACTTTTTAGTTCTCATATTGTATTTTTGTCGATATGTCGATAGGGTAGTTTTTGTATTTAATTTATGAGCAGGCTGGTAACAGTTGATTTTTAATTTTCCAAGTGTGGCATATTAGTTTCCAACCAAGAAATATGGGTATAGGCATTATGGTATATTTCATTTTTAAGTCGGACGATGAAATAAGATTAGCACGATCGCAGCAGATTTTTCTGGCTCAACTCTAATATTCGTCCGGAAATGCATACCGACAGAAAATGAAGCTAGGTTCCAACACGACTGGCTAGCGTCTAAACACAGCTTCTTATGCTTTTAACCGTCTCTACCAAAGCCATCTCAAAGTGTGGTCCATTAACATCGGGTCGACAAAGTCATTACTGTCTAAGGCTAGCGGCCAAACCGCGCAAACTAACTTAATTTCTGGGTTTCAGTATCTCCAGAATACGAGGTCACTCCTAAAAACAGGGCAACTACTGATTTATCATATTACTATTGTTTTTGTTTCAGTGGAGAAAATTCATCGTATCCATCGGAATTGGAGCAACCCTTTCCCAAAGTTCATTAAGCGCATACTGGGCAGACAAAATGAGGGTCGACGACTGTAAAGCCAAGAAATAAGCCAAAAATTTCTTTGGAAAAAGAAAAGGTTCATTTTGGATTTAACAGGTCCTCGCCAGATTTACACCCAGACTCTCAGCCGTCCCACGTGTAGACGTTAGCTTAAGACTAAAAATGCCGTAAAAGCTAAGAAAATTGAACTCATTATCAATTGAGCTATCACATGATTCAAACACAGAGAAGAAGCAGAGATTCGCACCACTTGCTTTACAAAATTACAGGCTAGAGTTCGAAAGATAAGGTGGCTCTTAAGAGAAAAGATGCAATTAAATCAAATAAGTTGAAGAAATTGCCAGCTACAAGCGAATTTTTAAGAATTTCTTATAGAAATCAGTCGACTGAAACATCAAAATGACTCCGGGTAAACCAACTCTTATTTATTTATTTCTAAATAACTATTAGATGAGACGGAAACGAATAAAGTGAGTTTTCAGTCCAAACTTTATAATCCGTAAACATCAAGTTTACCAAGAGCTTCGAAGCAAACAAACTGCATGTCCATCATCAACATTCGGTGATTTCAAAAGGCACTTTCGATAGCTTGCTATAAACAAAGATAAAAACTATAATAAAAGAAAACCAAAAAACTTGACTACAATATTCAAACAATTACCATAATTTTTTTTTTCAGAAAACCAACAAAACCTGGAAAACAATCCAAATAAATTAATCCTGTTAAATATGCAAATCGTACGCAACGTTTAAAAAAAAGCTGAAAAACAACGAAAAAGATAGCAATTTTGAAACAAAAAGCCCAAAAAAGGACGCAAGCTGAATCGAAAAAAAGTATAGATTAAAAAATATATGTTTGTCTAAAACGCGGCCAAATTTAAGGATAATACAATTGCCAGTGTTTAATAATACAGCCAGATGAC